ATTATATATGTATAATGAAAATCTTGATGATTATAACAATATTTTTAGATGTATCGATGAAGATTCAAAAATATCAATTCCATCCATCGCAATATCGCATAACAAGGAAATCAAGTTGAAGAGATCCATCTTCATTCTCTACTTTTGTTGATGTTTGATTATTTTCTCACATATTCATATATCTTTATAATGAAATAAATTAATATAATATATTTAAATCGGTTTTTCTTACATCTTTTTTTTATCTCAAATGATTATATGTAACATTTTTAATATATTCATCCCTACATTTTTTTATCCATTACATAATTATATAAAGATCATTATAATGTCTAATTTATTAAAAGATTTTGGTTTTAATTTTTTTCTTTCTAAAAATTACTTCTTTCATATCTTAAATATTTATTTTTGTAACATAGTTAGTATACTCATCATTACATTTAGTTTTTGTGATCCAAGAGATAATCATATAAAGTGTTTTATTCAAGATTTGTAGTTTCAAATTGTTTTCTACAAAAACAAAATTTAATTAAAAAGATAGATAATACAACCTAGCTATGTAAATCCTACAAAGTTAAATCATTATAATGAAACCTAGCTCTAGAATTTTAATTGAGTGGGATTAAACAAAAAAACAGAAGTATCTTTGAAGATTTTTTTAAGCTTTAAATCGTAGTTCATATGATTTTGTAGATAACAGATTTAGTTTATCACTTGTAAATTGATTTAAATTTTAATTATTAAATAATTTATGTGCGATTTTATATGAACAAAGAAAATAATCAAACATCTAAAGTGAAAAATGGAGATAGATTTTCTGAACATTATTTTCCTTGTTATGCGAATGATTAGAATTGATATTCTTAATTCTCCATACCAATAAACCTGAAAGTTTTGTTATAATCATCAAAAATTTTATTTTTCTTCTGAAAATTAAAGTATAAATATTATAATCTAGTATGGTGTCGAAATTAAAACAAAACAACAGTGTTAGATATATGGCACACTTTCTAAAATAAATTTAGAATCAAATTAACCCATATAGCAACATAAAAAATAGAAACATGGATATAGTGGAAAAAGATGAGAAAATGACTACTTATAAGATGATAATATAAAATAGACAATGGATATTAATCTTTAAAAAATCAAAAAATAATGTAAGATTTATTTCATATAGTCTCTGAAACTAAAATTTAGAACTACGCTTTTACAATGATATTAAATTTGATTTTCTTAAACGCATACAACAACAACAACAACCACTAAAAAAAACTAAAATAAAACAAAACAAAATTAAGGTTTGAGATATAGTGGAAGAGGATGAGAGAATGAGTGAGTGAGTGAATGAGAGAATGAGAAAATGATTATTTATAGGATGAGAAGTGATGGGAGTTAACAATTTAAAAAATAAATTATGGGAGTTACAATTTTAAAAAATAAATTATGGGAGTTATAATTTTAAAAATGAATTTAATTTATTATATGTTGAATAAAATTGAGTGAAAAATATAGTTAATGCATAGTAATTTTGATTTCAGTTTTATATTAAAGTGTGAGTTAAAAATATACTATTAAATGTGTTATTTATTTATGGTTTAATTGAAAATAATTTTTTTTCTAAATCATATTGCCAAGTGGACCAATAAGCAAGTTAGACCAAATAAGGGTCAAAAGCGAAAATCATCGAACTTTAGAACTCAATTCGAATTCAAAGCCATCACGAGGATAAACGGAGGCTGAAACACGTACCATAGTAATGAGCATCGATGACTTGAACAATCAGTGAAACAAGGAAGAGAAGAGAAAAAGCGAGAGGAAGAATGGCGAAGATCTTTGACATGATTGATGCAGTGCCGGCTTATTAGCCCATGTGCTGAGGGTGCTAGGGCACAGGGTCTAAGGGTCTAAAAAAAAATTTACATGTTAATTTTTTTTTATATTTTATTAATAGTAGATATTTTAGGTTTTTATAGATTATACCACTAGGTCTCCAAAATATATGAGCCGGGCCTGGATTGATGAATCTCTTGGAAGCTATACGTAAACCGATGGATTGATGATCAAAGCAGCAGAGAGTGGAGTTGCAGAATCTTTGGATTCTTATATTCAAGGAATGTAGGGAGAGATCTCGACTATATAAAAGTAAAGTTTCACTCCTTTAGAAAAAAAAATTATTTTCAACTAAATCACAAATAAATAACACATTTAATCATATATATTTAACTCACACTTTAATATAAAACTGAAATCATAATTACTATGCATTAACTATATTTTTTCACTCAATTTTATTCAACACACAATAAATTAAATTTATTTTTAAAATTGTAACTCCCATAATTTATTTTTTTAAATTATAACTCGCATAATTTATTTTTTAAATTGTTAACTCCCATCACTTCTCATCCTATAAATAATCATTTTCTCATTCTTTCATCCACTCACTCACTTATTCTCTCATCCTCTTCCACTATATCTCAAATCTTCATTTTTTTGTTTTGTTTTAAGTTTTTTTTTGGTTGGTTGATTGTTGTTGTTGTTGTATGCGTTTAAGAAAATCAAATTTAATATCATTGTAAAAGCGTAGTTCTAAATTTTAGTTTTAGAGACTATATGATATATATCTTATATTATTTTTCGATTTTTTAAAGATTAATATTCATTGTCTATTTTAAATTATCATCTTATAAGTAGTCATTTTCTCATCTTTTTCCACCATATCCATGTATCTATTTTTTATGTTGCTATATGGGTTAATATCAAAGAAAACATCATTGAAAAAATTTGATTCTAAATTTATTTTAGAAAGTGTACCATATATCTAACACTGTTATTTTGTTTTGTTTTCGACACCATAATAGATTATAATATTTCTTCTTTAATTTTCAGAAGAAAAATAAAAGTTTTGATGATTATAACAAAACTTTCAGGTTTATTGGTATGGAGAATTAAGAATATCAATTCTAATCATTCGCACAACAAGGAAAATAAAGTTAAGAAGATCTATCTCCATTTTTCACTTTAGATGTGTGATTATTTTCTAACATATTAATGTATTTGTTTTTTAATTATGCAATATTTAATAAACAAATTATTGTAGTAAATATATCAATTAATTTTTTCTTACCTCTTTATTATCTCAAACAAATTTTTGTAATTCATTATTAATATATGTATCATTATATTTAGCTTTTTCTGATCCATTAGATAATTATATAAAGATCATTATAATGGTTATTTTATTTAAAATTTGAGGTTTAAATGTTTTTTGAAAATTAAATTTAGTTAGAATAAAATCATTAGAATGAAACCTAGCACTCATACTTAAATGGAGTGAAATATAGAAATACAAAACTAGAAATAAATATTTTTTTTAATGAATCCTATAATTAATAGTGAAACCATCAGTATTATTTAGCACTAGAATTTAAATTGATGAGTGAAATTAAAAAAAAAAAAAAAAAAAAAAAAAAAAAAAAAAAAAAAAATAGAAGTTATCTTTGGATTTTTTTTTTTAAATTTTAGATTGAACTTCATAAGAAAACAAATTTAGTTTGTCACTAACAAATAATATGAATTGGAACTATTATGTGTGAATTTATATCAACAAACAAATTATGTGTTAGTTTATATCAATTTATTTTGTAAACATTAATATATATATAACATATGTTATACGGTACATTTATTTTGTAAAAATAATATATAACATGTTTATTAATGTATACATACATAAATAAAATAATAAAGTAAAATTTACTAAAATATAAGCAAATGTAAGATATCAAAAGTTAAAAGTCTTTTAAATTTTTTTAATCATACTTCTATTGAAACAAAATTGTAAAAATATATCCCGCCGCGTAGTGCGGGCTTTTATCTAGTTTTAATGATAAGGATAAGAGTGAAAGTGCCACGTGTCCAAACGTGAGAAGGAGGAGATTTGCCACGATCGTCACCGGCCACATCTTGGATCTAGTGCAGCGCCGTCGCCGGACTTCAGATCCATCATCGCTGACTCTTTCTACAGGCTCCACCGCTGCCGATCTGCAAGATTTTGCTGCTATCATTTTGAAATTTCCAGCCATACACTCAAATGAATCTTTATAACTCAACTCCAAAACTCCTCAAAGAAAGTTCCACCTTAAGACCTCCAAAGGTCCGCTTCATACCAGAAGGTGAAGTAAGTGGACGAAGATATTACTTCTTCAGAAGAAAAGAGCCAAGCTGACAGTAAAGCAAACATAATCTTTCAAATAGCAAACGTGATTTGAATTTGAAATCATGTAGAAAGAGAGAACAAACAAAATCCAGATCTTATACAAAGATAAGTTTGGAAAACTTCAATCCGACCATAACACCGGCTAAGCCGGAATGAAAAACAACATAAGATCGGAAAAAGAAAAAAAAACTTGTCCGATTAGTAATCAGAAGACAAAAAGAAGAAACTGGCTTTTCCTCTCTCTGAAAATTTGGAGAGAGTTAAGAAAGAGAAAAACTTTTTTAAACTGAAATTTTAATTAGGCAACATGTATTATCGAGATTTCAAAAATATAAAGTCTTAGTTATAGGTCTAGAAAATTTAAAAGAAACACTTATACAAATAATTAATAGATCTGAAAGTTCTAAATTATTAAAAATAAAATTTTTTAAAAAAACGCTACTGTTATAGTACTTACCAAATACCAATCGGCCCATGATCAGTTGAAAATTGTTTTTGGTAAAATATGTCAAAATCCAAACATCAACGTAATCAAAATGTATATCACATGGACACGTGTAAAGAGGACGCTTGTGGTCGTGCGCCATCATCATCAAGCGAATGGGTTTTGTTTTTGTATACAAAAACTGGGCCGCCCTTAAAAGCCCAATAAAAGGCCCAATCATTCTCTCTAATATTTCGACCTAAAACCCTTATTTAGACGCATCCTTATTCGATAAAAGATAATAACAAACTTATCTCTTTACCTTCTCTGCTTTTTCATCCTAAGGTCCAATTAGCCTCTCAAGCCCAAATCTCTCTCTTTCTCTTTATCTCTCTCTCCCTCCTCGCCGGAGATCGGCTAGATTCCCTCCGTCACCACCGTGTCGGACCAGAGATTTTCCGTCCGCCTTCTCTAGTTCACGACGTAGAGCTTCAATTTCTCCCTCGCAGGTATTGTTCTCGAAACCCTAACTCACGATTTAATTTCGCCTTTTTTATTGGATCTAATTGGGGATTTTTGAGTTTTGCCTCGATTGTTTGTGTAATTGTCAGCTTTTGATCTGCGCTGCGAAAATACGTTTGGTTCCTTTACTTTGTGAAATTGTTAGCGTGGATCTGTTAAACGAAATTATCAGCTTAGATCTGCTCATTCTGAAATAATTCAACTCTTTCGCCAATTTTACTGGATAGAGAAAGTTCTTCAGGTCTTTTAGGAGCCAAGTTCAAAAAATTTGGTTCGACTCATGGAGGCAAAGCAGTTTTGAAAAAACTTGAATTGTTGTTTGTGTGTGTGTGTGTGTTTTAAAGAAAAAGGCCGATCTTTTTTGTTTTATAAAATTCTGTGTTTTGTTTTGAATCAGGTTCGTTGTGTTGAAACTTTGTAATCTGGGCTCTAGTTTTTGATTTGCAGCCCATGTTTGATCGACTCTTAGGACCTTTAAAAACTCCAGATCTGTTTTTTCTCTTTCTTCTTTTTCTTAGTTGTTGGATCTACTCAATGGCTGAAATACCGATTTTGCCCCTAGACCACTCTTATTATTTACCGTGGGTCATGGCCTTTACGAATAGGCCCAATGATTAAACTAATATTTAGTACTTGAGTCCATGTGATTGTTTTAGACTTTTTTTTTAGTTTAGTCCCATCAATTATTATGCGGAAGTTTCATAATCGCTATTATTATTTTATATATAGCAACCAATTCTATCTTATGGGTTTTTTTGGGTAACCATCACATACTGATTCTTGTTTTCCTTTGTATGTATGTAGCAAGAAGATGGAAACAGCTTTGGAGGTGTACAATGATACTGAAACGAGGTCACCAGAAACACAACCAATCAAGCGACGCAAGAAGAAGTCGATGGTCTGGGAACATTTCACAATCGAGGCGGTGGAACCGAATTGCAGAAGGGCTTTTTGCAAAGGATGTAACCAGAGTTTTGCTTATAGCAACGGTAACAAAGTAGCTGGTACTAGCCATCTTAAGCGTCACATTGCTAAGGGGACATGTCCTGCACTTATCCATACACAAGACAATGATACCAACCAGCTCATGACTACTCCTTACACTCCCAAGAGTGACACCCCGAGAAGGCGTTACCGAACCCAGACCCCTAGTCCTTTTGTTGCGTTTAATCAGGACAAGTGTCGTCAAGATATAGCTAAGATGATCATTATGCATGACTACCCTCTTCACATGGTTCAGCATCCAGGGTTCATCTCGTTCGTGCAGAGTATTCAGCCTCACTTTGATGCTATGAGCTTTAACAATGTTCAAGGAGACTGTGTGGCGACTTACCTTGCAGAAAAGCAGAATGTCATGAAGTCTTTAGAAGGGATTCCTGGACGCTTCTGTCTAACGCTGGACTTCTGGACGTCCAAGCTAACTCTTGGGTATGTGTTTATAACTGCTCACTTCATTGACAGCGATTGGAAGATACAAAAGAAGCTTCTCAATGTTATGATGGAATCGTATCCAGAAGCTGACGAAGCCTTGAGTCTTGCGGTTGCTAATTGTGTTTCTGAATGGGGTCTTGAGGGAAAGTTGTTTTCCGTCACCTTCAACCATCCGGCGAGTCCCTCTGCGGTTGAAAACATCAGACCTCAACTCTGCATCAAGAACCCTGGAATTCTGGATGGTCAGTTAGTAATAGGGAACTGTGTTGCCCGAACATTTAGTAGCCTCGCTAAAGATGTCCTGGAGAAAGGAAAAGATGTGATCAAGAACATCCGGGACAGTGTGAAGCACGTGAAAACCTCAGAGTCCCATGAGGAGAGGTTTATTGAGCTCAAGGAACAGCTTCAAGTTCCAAGCGAGAAGGTACTTTCTCTTGATGACCAGACGCAATGGAACACAACATATAAGATGCTTGTGGCTGCTTCAGAATTAAAGGAAGTGTTCTCGTGCTTAGACACTGCTGATCCTGACTACAAGAAACCTCCTTCAGCAGAGGATTGGAGGCATGTGGAGGCACTTTGCACATTCCTGAAGCCTCTTTTTGAAGCAGCCTCCACTCTTCAATCTACTGGAAACCCATCTGCTGTTACCTTCTTCCATGAAGTGTGGAAGACACAGTCAGATCTGTCTCGGGCAATAGCTGGAGAGGATCCTTATGTCGCAGGTATTGCTAAAACCATGAAAGAGAAGGTTGACAAGTACTGGAGAGACTGTAGCTTGGTTTTGGCAATGGCGGTGGTGATGGATCCTCGGTTCAAGATGAAGCTTGTCGAGTTCAGTTTCTCCAAGATATTTGGAGAAGATGCTGGGAAGAACATCAAGACCGTGGATGATGGGATCCACGAGCTCTTCAGCGAATACATGGCGCTCCCGTCGCCCCTTAAACCGACATCTGAAGGTGGGAAAGCAGATGGACTGTCAGATTTTGATACGTACATAATGGAGACAACGGGGCAGAATCTGAAATCAGAGCTTGACCAGTACCTTGATGAAACGCTGCTTCCCAGGGTTCAGGAGTTTGATGTTCTTGACTGGTGGAAACAGAACAAACTCAAGTACCCGACATTGTCAAAGATGGCTAGAGACATCCTCTCGATCCCGGTTTCAGCTGCAGCCTTTGACTATGTCTTTGACATGGAGCCAAGGGAAATGGATGAGTATAAGACGTCACTGAGGCCCGAGACAGTGGAGGCTCTGATTTGTGCGAGGGAATGGCTTCTGGAGAATGCTTCTTCTTCTGCAGCTGAGCAAATGGCAAGTGCTATCATCAAATCTGAAGCATAGGTGAGACTTTGCTTCATTATCTCTAAATGTTGTATTGTTGTTGTTTTCTAGAAGTTTATATGTCGTCTTTTGTGGTTAGTCTTTAAACCCACCGTGTGATTTGCAATTAGGAATTTGACTCTTTAAGATATCTACTGCACATTTTAAAATGCTCCTTCCTAGATGAAATTTATTGCACATATTCAACTGAACTATAAGCCTCGATGAATCCTATCTTTCAATTCCAAAACTGAAATTCTTTATTCTAACAATTTTTTACAACGTACTGTATATGAGTAATTAATACTCTAGACAACTGTTTTTAGTTCAATGAGAATTTTTGAAATAACTCTTGAAAGAAATATAAGAACAAAAGGTATTGAAATGCAATGACTATTTTTTTGTTGTAGCTAAAACCATTAAATATAGTAATATATACTATCAAGAAGGCAACCTAATGTTTAGCCTCCTTAACCAAACGGACTGAAGTATCATGTGGATCACATCAAACGGTTGAGCCGGGCGGTTCACCACAAAATGCCTTCTAACTTTCATAACATTTTGATACATCCTTATATACTTGTCATGCGGAATCTCTTGCAAAATCTTCTTAATATCAGGGATTTTGTCGACCGGGATCTCTACCGAGAACTTGCTCCAATCAAGCACGTCGTTGAACGGAAGCGAGTAGTTGTCTGATATCACAACCGGGATGCAGCCTGAGTAGATGGCTTCGACCTCTCTAGGACTAGCCACCTCGTAGCCACTAGGACAAAGACAAAACTTGCTATGACCAATCAATTCATGATAGTTTTGTCCCTTTGTGAGGTGGTCATACACTTGAACATTTTTATCCTTGCCCTTCCAGTGAGTGAACAAGACTTCCCTTATGTATCCGTGAGCTCTTCCTGCAAAGAAAGCCAAGATCGTCCTGTTCTCAGGGGTTTGGCCCATGAACGGTGGCTTTAGCTTCCTTTTAGGAATGTTAATCTCCGGTATAGAGAAATCGATGTTTGGTCTAAAACCTTCTGTTTTGTTGGCGTTGCATAGTCCTCTCATGAAGTCCTTGAAAAACTCTGGTTTACTATACGCCACATCGGGAGCCTAATCAAATCACTTGAAGACTGAAGTAGAAAACATTAGTCGGTAGTTTGGTCGAACCAATCCATACCGGAAAGAACCCGTTAACCGAATGAATATCCAAACCGAACCTAACCGAATGAATATCCAAACCGAACCTAACCGAATGATATCTTAAAATGATCTATAGAAGTTGTGTGTACGTTACCCAATCGTGGCAAGAGACCATGAAATGGTCAGCACCATTGCTTTGGTTCCAAAAAGGGTGCTTGCGAGCAACGAGGTCTACATAATCGTTAAAAATCCGGTGGAGGCGGGCCCGGTTGAAATCAGCCGGCGAGGTAATGGGTTGGTAGACGTAGTGGACAATGTTGGCAACGGAGAACGGTAAGAAGAAGGCATGAGCTTCTTCCGGCCGGCTAGCCCTAAACCGGCCACTTGGTCCGCCCATCACGTTACTAAGCTCGTCAATGAACTGTCCCTCGATTCCGTAGATATCATTTACCGGTCCATCGTGAACCAGTGGCTGCTCTCCTTCTTTGTACGACCACACTTTAAATCTTTTCATCATTTCTATGTGACTCCTGTATTATTTTTGTTCAACATATCAATTTTAGTTAGCATCAATAAAAACAAGAATTTACCACAGAAATGTTTTCGACAAGAAGATATTCTAAGTTATATGCAGATTTATTACTCAAATATGAATACTTATATGAAGCATTTTTAAAAATCCAATCTTCAATTTAATATAAGTGTGAGATTTAAGTGACCCAAAAATTAGATTATAAGCATCAAAACCGGTTAGCATGAGAATCAAAATGTCAATTTATCTCAGTTGACCGAAAGTAAAAGAATTTCAATACTCTCTCTCGAGATAACTCAACTAGGAGAAAAAAAATATACACCAAAGAAATGTTTTCTAAAAAAAAAACGAGAAAAAACACTCGAGGAGTTGAAAGTTCAATTAAATTTGGTATATGTTGAAAAAAAATAAAAAAATTTGGTATATTTGCATTAATAAGTCCGTGGGACTTCCGAACACAGCGTTAGACGGACACATGCTTTAAATCAGTGGAGAGTTTGGTCAAATTAGGCAATCTTTTATGATATGTTAGTTTTGGTTCATGCATCGAGGTGTTGGACCTAATTTTTATTTAAGCTATTTGGGCTTAATAAAAAATAAAGTGTGTGAAAAGAAATGGGCTTAAGAATGGCCTAGCTCCCGTTGGAGCTCCGAGTGAAGTCGGGTCGGATTGAACAATTAAAACAAGAGACAAAATCGATCTCTGTTTGTGTTGCCCGTGAGACTCGGTCTCCTTTGTTTTTCACGATTCCTTGTGAATCGGTTTCATGGAGAGATCGTTTTCTCATCACGTTGCCCACTTCTCCTAGATTTGTGGTGGATGTGGTTAATTGATTTCAAAATCAGACCTATCCTAAACCTCTATAAAAAACGCACATGAGTTCAAGTCTTCTTCTTCACTCGTTGATCATAGACTTCGAACAAAAGCCTCCAGCAATCTCTCTCTGTTAGAAAGTAAGTATTTCGAGAGTATCGTAGTGATTTGGTTCGTAGAGCTGTGTTTTCGAGTGTTTGCGAAACCAGTTTAGAGAGGTTGTATCCTGGGATCCTTGAGTCACATAACACCGGCACACTACGGGTGATTCAAAGGGTTAAGGAAAGAGTTTTATCAACTCGACTCCTCTAATGTTTTTCCTTAACGTTTATGGTCTTGTATTTCAATGATTTCCGTAGTGTTGCAGAAATTTTGCTTCTACACGAGGATCTTAGAATGATAAAGATATTGGATTGGAGGAATATTTGTGCTAATTATACAGTAGTCAGATTTTTCGATGAAAAAAAAAAATAGATTGGGAAGCCAATTAAATCTAGAGATACATCCTAAAATATCACACAAAACAAAACTTGTTTTTCTACAAAACATAAATATTTTGGAGAAGTTATAAAATACCACAAAATTATGTTTACGAAGGATTTATAATAGTTTAGTAAGAGATAATAAATCATTTATAAATTATAATCATTTTCTAAAATTTTATGAACCCATCATAAAAAAAAAATTCATGGTATTTTTGAAATTTCAGAATTTTGATGATATTCTAGGAAAACTAAACATAAATTATGTTATATTTTAGAATTATCCGTAAATATGTATCAGATTTGGTCATTTCTAATTCTGAATTGATCAAATTTTTATTCAATTTTTTTTTCAATTTCCACTCTAAAAAATTGTTATAATGAATATTTAATTATTATGAGGTTGTATTTGTAATTTCAAATAAAATTACAAAATATAAAAATCAATATAATTTTGAATATCTATTAAGCCTATCAATTGTATTTTTGTAAATCCAGAGGTTTGCTCGTTTAATACAATTTTCAAAGTTGACAAACACATGAACTTTCGTAACATTTGACAAGTTAATACTATAGTAACCATTTTTTTCCTAACATCTTTCAGTTCCATTAACAAATTAATTTTCATATATTAACGTCTGCAAATCAACATATAGTTTTATTTGTTTATAGTATGTATTTAAATTTCTCTATCACTATTCCTCACTATACATGCGTTTTTGCATCCTATGATGGCATTTTAAAAGACGACCAGGGAAAAAAATAAAATAAAATAAGAACAAGGGAGGGAGGTATTTTTGATCCGTTCCATTTATTGGATCCAAATAATAATTAATTTAAGAAGGAAGAAGTAAAAGTAAACTTTTTTTTTTTTTAAATTTTTTTTTAAATTTTTTTATTTTTTTTTATTATTTTTTTTTTTGTAAAAGTAAACTTAACTGATGAAAGGCAAATGAATTTCTGTAGATCTGGCCTGTGGGGATATAAGTAACTTCTTCGTTGGACGTGTAATTCTTAAACCTGACGGCTCTTCTAATTGCAGCCCTTGCTTTCCTCAACTCTTCTTCTCTTTTCTCAAGATTGCTCCTTCTCTGCCGACATTTCATTTAATTTTGTTACTATCTTATTAAATTAGAATCGTAACATTTACTTCATTTTTACAAAACTACGACCTATGCATAGAATTATAGAATATGCATGCATGTACATGTTAAGTTGACCAAAAGAAAAAAGATTATGTACGTTTAAAAGTTGTATTTAAACTCATTACTATATACATATACATCTAGTACTAATATAGGCATATAGCATATGTCTAATTTGAATAATATAACACATGTATGAATCTTCGGAATTCATGTATATATTGATTTGAGTAATGAAAAATGTCTATATTTCAGATGATTTTTGACCATATAGCATGTAGTTAATATATGAAAATATCAATAGTAACTAAAGAGGAAATCTATACATATGAATATCTACTTACCTTTATGGTATTCGGAGGAGAGTATAACGAGGAAGATGAGGATTGTAATGCATTTGTGTGATCAAGAATAGATGACATAGTAAGTGAAGAAAAGAACTGTTGAGGTGGAGATACATTTTTAGGGAAAAAAGAAAAGACTAGGAAGAGAATAAGAAGAAGGAGAAGAACTAATGGAAACGCTAACAAGCAAAATCTCTTAGAAGAACCCTTTGACATATTTTTGCTTTAATTTGCTAAATGCTTTCTCTCGTCGCCCATTTTCATTTGGCTTCTCTTGAACCTTTATATGCGACTTCGAGCAGTTCATGTTTGACTTGGCGAATTTTTAATACCAAAATAATATTATTACACTAACAAAGCCATTTTAGTTGACGTCATATGCTTCTTCCTACCGCAAATCTTTTGTAGGTGATTACTCTAGGATGGTCGAATCCGTTTGATGGTTTTGTCGGCTAATCAGACATTTAATGGTTATGGAAATAGTGGCATAGTTATGTGTTTGTTAAGAAAACAAAATAAATTTTCGTTCATATACGTCATGTAATTACTAATCGCAACAAATTTGTGTGGAGACTGGAATTATAGTATATATGAAATTTTTTTTTTTTGCTAAGATAAAATATATATGAAAATTTTTGAGTGACATATAACTTCCCATATGCGGGTATCGTCATGCATGAAAACAAAACAGCTTCCGATTTCGAGAATCTATATATAATATGTACTGATGTCACAAACTGATCTCAAGTTTTATTAAGCATATATACACACAATTTATCACAATTAAGAAAATTGTAACGACAAAAAGTTCAACTTTTTTTAATTGAATTTAAAGAGAGAATAGCTCTTTCGGGATCGAGTTGTATACTTGTATTTTGCATTTGATATGCTTGGATTTTGGGTGCTTTGCCCGGTAATTTCACAAAATTCAAAAATGAGCCATAATTATGTTAGTTCAAATTTTTCTTTAAAACACACTTAGGTTTTACGTATTTTTTTTCATGGGATATCCAATGACACATTATATTTTCTATATAATATCAAATTTTATGTTTAAATCATACAAGAAAAAACGTTTAATAGCACTTTTTTTTTTTTGCCAGTTTGGATTCTACAATTTGTAACTATCAATCAAATGCACTAAAAAATATTAGTAACACAATGAGACTCTCTAAGTCCACGTAACTCTCTCAGTCGACTCTCACATCGTATCACATGCTTTCTTGACATGACTAAGTGAATATAATAATACTAATCGTCTAGTATACAACCTTTTTCCTAGTCAACAAACTTGAATAATACTACTGATTGTACTTCTATACTTAAAAATTGGAAATAAATTTACAGAACTCCAATCCCAAGACTCATAAAATTGAGTCGTTCAGAAAAAGCAAACTTTCTCATTGAGAAAAACAGTGCCGCACAGTTTTCACGAATTTGGAACTTCCATTAAAACAAAAAAAGAGATTTCGATTGTTTTTTTTCATCTGAATTTTATTAATAACATGATTAAAAAATATTTGGTGAAAAATTCAAATGGGAAGAAGACAAAATTTCTCTAGAATGTAAAACTTTATTAAAAAATACAAACGACTGATATTACAAGATTACCAAATAACTCGACAACATAGAATCATATATACCAAACTGAACAAGAAATCCTTTTTGTAGAGCATAACAAAGATGTCTACTACCAGCTATCAAGGATATAAACCTCTTCGAAAGATGATGGACTGCTTAAAAGTAACAGAATTTCTATTCTAATCTTCAGTTAAACAATTAATTTTTCCACAAACTTAATTTTGCGTTGTGTCTATAACTACATGAATTTTATTAATATTTAAAATATTTTATACGAATAAAATAAATTTAGCTTAAACCATCGTATTCCTAAAACTGTTACTGTTCCGTTAAAAAAACTGACAAAAATTCCACATGGAAGAACAAATACAAACATACACACACACACATATATATATATATATATAAGGCAAATGCAATTTTCTCTCCTCTTTACTTCCCTATTATTTTTTTTCTTTTTCTCCTTCTTTCTCGGCATCTTCCATCTCTTCTTCATCTTCATCAAAGCTTTTGTTAACTTTAATGAAGATTGAGGAGTTCACATTGAGCAATATGGCTCAAGAGGTAGTGATTATAGATTCTTTTAAAAGATCACAAGTTCAAATCTTAGTTAAACTTTAAGTTTTGATAACTTTTTAGTGTGTTCCATGTTGTTCATCTCTACGGGATCCTAGTCAGTTTTTTTTAACATAATAATAACGGCGTTTAGGATTTTGATGGTTTTGGTGGAATTTATATTGTTCATGTAAAAAATTTTACATTTTAGTTAGGTTTATGTAGTTATGGCAATCAACTATTAATTTTTTCAAATTTTTTTCCCAACCAGTCATATAATGCTTATTAGGATGCCATCTAATAAAACAAGACGGTATATACAAAAAAAAAAAAAAAAAAAAAAGACGGTATAATACATACGCAACGTAAAATTTGGTGTATAAATACTAGGGGTGTCAAAATGGTTAACCCAACTCAACTCAACTCATTACCCAATGAGTTTAGAGTTAAATGAGTTCATGGGTTAACCCATTGACCTATTAATGTAATAAATAAATTAATAATTAAAATATAATAATAATAATAATAATCATCATCAATAGGGGTGTCAAAATGGGTCAACCAAAACTCAACTCAACCCATGAACCCTAATGAGTTGAAAATTTTGACTCAAATGAGTTGATGGATCAAATGAGTTATTGAGTCAAATGAGTTGATGTATCAAATGAGTTGGGTTGTAATGGGTCAATGGTTTCAATGGTTTACCAATTTGACCTATCAATTTTTGTTAAATTGAATCAAACCAATTTAAATCTCTAAACCGATTTCAATTTGAGTCTAACCAAAACTTCTAAACCGATTGAATATAGTCTTTAATTTTCCCACCAAAAATGTGAACACACAATTTTCCTATCAAAATATAAATTCGTGATTTTCCCGCCAAAAAAATTTATAATTTTTAACAAAAAACGAAAATATGTAATTTTCCCGCCAAAAACGTAAACCCATGATTTTCCCGCCAAAAACGTAAACCCGTAATTTTCCCGCCAAAAACGTAAATCCGTGATTTTCCCGCCAAAATTTTTTATAATTTGTAACCAAAAATGAAAATGTAATTTTTTTCCGCCAAAAATGTAAACGTAAAATTTTCCCGCCAAAAATGTAAACCCGAGATTTTCCCGCCAAAAACGTAAACCCGAGATTTTCCCGCCAAATTTTTTTATAATTTGTAACCAAAAATGAAAATGTAAAATTTTCCCGCCAAAAATGTAAACCCGAGATTTTCCCGCCAAAAACGTAAATCCGTCATTTTCCCGCCAAATTTTTTTTTATAATTTTTAACCAAAAATGAAAATGTAAAATTTTCCCGCCAAAAACGTAAATCCATAATTTTCCCGCCAAAAACGTAAACCCATGATTTTCCCGCCAAAAACGTAAATCCGTAATCTATATTCAATCGGATTTACGTTTTTGGCGGGAAAATTACGGGTTTACGTTTTTGGCGGGAAAATCATGGGTTTACGTTTTTGGCGGGAAAATTACATATTTTCGTTTTTTGTTAAAAATTATAAATTTTTTTGGCGGGAAAATCACGAATTTATATTTTGATGGGAAAATTGTGTGTTCACATTTTTGGTGGGAAAATTAAAGACTATATTCAATCGGTTTAGAAGTTTTGGTTAGACTCAAATTGAAATCGGTTTAGAGATTTAAATTGGTTTGATTCAATTTAACAAAAATTGATAGGTCAAATGGGTAAACCATTGAAACCATTGACCCATTACAACCCAACTCATTTGATACATCAACTCATTTGACTCAATAACTCATTTGATCCATCAACTCATTTGAGTCAAAATTTTCAACTCATTAGGGTTCATGGGTTGAGTTGAGTTTTGGTTGACCCATGAATCTTGACCCATTTTGACACCTCTATTAAATACACTAATGTAATAAGTTCTTACAACCCGTTTTCCCCAAATCTTCATAACCCGCCAAAACAGAACCACCCGTAAATTCTCGAAAAAAAAATGTTTCGATTACATAAATACAAAAGTCATATAAAGGATTGGTTATTAAGGATTTGTTGACATAAACTTGGCTGTCCCCTTTGACAATCAACCCGAAGTCAATCATCGAAACAGAGCACGGAACAGTCAATGGGAACCACCTCCATCGGGATGGCTAAAATGCAACTTTGATAGTGGTTTTAGTAAGGGGAGAGACTATACAACGACAGGTTAGATCATAAGAGATGAGACTGGTCATATGGTTAGCTCTGGATGTGCGAAACTTCAGCAATCACACTCTGCGCTGCAGGCGGAAGCTCTCGGGTTCCTTCATGTCTTGCAGGTTGTTTGGATGCAAGGACATCGATGCGTTTGGTTTGAAGGCGACAATAGTGAATTGGTCAGGCTGATAAATTCAAATGGGAATCATATTAAAATCGGGACTCTTCTCTACGATATTCACCAATGGAGGACTAAACTGCGGTTATCATCTTTGCATCATGTAAACAGAGAGAAAAATGCTGCCGCAGATATGTTATCAAAGAGAGCTCATAGTATCAATTCTATGTATGAAACTTTTACTGTACTACCAATATGGTTGGTGAACTACTTGTACCACCAATATGGTTGGTGAACTACTTGTACCATCCGTTTACAATATAAGTAAAAGTCAGAGGTTAAAAAAAAAAAAAAAAAAAAAAAAAAAAAAAAAAAAACTTGGCTGTCCCTAAAGCCCAATAAAGGTCCAATTAGCAGCTCAAGCCCAAATCTCTCTCTCTCCCCTCGCCGGCAATCGGGTCGATTCCTCCGTCACCACCGTGCCGCACCAGACATTGGGTCGCAATGTTTTCGCTCAATCTATCTCATCCTCTATCTTTGAAACATCTCAACCTCTTATCTTGTTACACGGATTCGTCTGCTCCCTCAATCGCTCGAAAGGTACCGACCTAAACTTGCTCCATTCTGCATTGCTTCACTTCATATCGTGAATTTGGGTATCTACTTTGTACAGTTGATCAAAGAATCAAAGCTATCAAGAGAATTCAGTCGAAAGATACAAATTGTAGACTATGCTCCATTAGTCCAAACGTTAAGCCAGAGAAGATTGCCTGATGTTGCTCATGAGATTTTCATCCAAACGAAATCAGTTAACTTGTTACCAAATTATAGAACCCTTTGCGCTCTTATGCTTTGCTTTGCTGAAAATGGGTTTGTTCTTCGAGCACGTACGATTTGGGATGAGATTTTAAACAGTTCTTTCGTGCCTGATAGCTTTGTCGTCTCTAAGCTTATATCTGCTTATGAGCAGGTTGGTTGTTTTGATGAAGTTGCCAAAATCACCAAGGATGTTGCTGCAATGCATTCGACGCTGCTTTCGGTTGTGTATTCAGTTGTTATATCGTGTTTTGGTAAGAATGGTCAGTTGGAATTGATGGAGGGTGTTATAGAGGAAATGGATTCGAAGGGAATGTCGTTAGATTCTGCTACTGCTAATGCGATTGTTAGATACTTTAGTTTTTTCGGTACATTAGATAAGATGGAGCAGGCTTATGGCCGGCTTAAGAAGTTTGGAATTGTGATAGAGGAAGAAGAGATAAGAGCTGTGTTGTTAGCATACTTAAAACAAAGGAAGTTTTATCGGCTACGTGAGTTTTTGTCAGATGTTGGTCTCGGTAGAAGAAATCTTGGGAATATGTTATGGAATTCTGTATTACTGTCATTTGCAGCTGACTTTAAGATGAAAAGCTTGCAGAGAGAGTTTATTGGAATGCTTGATGCGGGTTTCTCTCCTGACCTTACTTCCTTTAATATCCGCGCCCTTGCGTTTTCTAGAATGGCTCTTTTCTGGGATCTACATCTTACTCTTGAACATATGAGACGTTTGAACATTGTTCCGGATCTTGTGACTTTCGGATGTGTGGTTGATGCATACATGGATAAGCGACTAGCAAGAAATTTGGAGTTTGTATACAACCAAATGAACTTGGACGACTCTCCTGTTGTCTTAACTGATCCACTTGCATTTGAAGTACTGGGGAAAGGGGATTTCCATCTTAGCTCAGAAGCTGTTTTGGAGTTCACTCCACGGGAAAACTGGACGTATAGAAAGCTAATTGGAGTTTATCTGAAGAAAAAGTTGCGGAGAGACCAGATTTTCTGGAATTACTAGCCACCTGCCACCTCTTTCCTGCAAAGAGCGTCACGCTCTGCTCATTATCACAATCCGTGTGATTAACTTTTCGGATGCTCGAAATGAAACATTGCATATATATATCATAGATGCCTGTACAATATTTTATTGTTAAATAGATATGTATATTGGATTACATACATAGTTATATATATGCACATATTTACATTATTGTTAATCTTCATAATTTGCATTATTCCAAGTTTTGACGTCTTCGACATGGTAAAATTTTATATTTAACATCCGTGTTTTTAAAAGACAGATTCTAGGACAATTAGTGGTGAATTTGGTGATCAACTAGTACGAGTTTAACTACTTTAAATAACTTAAAAACTTTTTGGTTTTGTATCCGGAGTTGTGGACCATAGAAAGACATATTGACTCCTCAAAGTAAATTCTACATTTTACATTCAAATATGAGCCTAAATTTGAGATGCACTATTTTTAGAAAGTGTAACTGAAATGTAGGAAAAACGACAGGAAGAACTAAGCGAAAGCTTAGGTGAGCCATAAAACCTGATTATTGGAAGAAAAGAAAAATGTTCCGAGAATAAAGTTAGATCGCTGGTGAAAGTTTTTTAAAGTAATATAAGAATGGTTGTTTAGAGTGTGTTTTTGTTTTGTATTTATTTTTTCTCATAGGTTTCTTGTAATACACGCTTCTTCTTCTCTCTCCCTCTCTCTTATGGCCTCCTCTTGAAAGCGTCTTGCATGCTAAGAGAAGGCTTTAGAGCAAAGAGAGAAGGGAGAAGTTGATTCTTCCATCGGATATATCTTTTTTTTTTCATATATCTGTCTTTATTAATTTATTTCTAAGATTATATCTCTCTTTTAAGGAAGAAAAATGGCGTCTGATATCTCATGGGATGAAATCAAGAAAGAAAATGTGGATCTTGTAAGAGTTTTACACAATTTAACATTTTTCTCTAGATTTTGAACCACTGAAAATATCTAATGTTTGAATGATTATGTGTAGGAGCGGATCCCTGTTGAAGAAGTGTTTGAGCAGCTGAAATGCTCAAAAGAAGGTTTGTCAAGCGATGAAGGGAAGAAAAGGCTTGAAATATTTGGGGCAAACAAGCTTGAAGAGAAGTCTGAGAACAAGTTTTTGAAATTCTTGGGGTTCATGTGGAATCCTCTCTCATGGGTTATGGAGTCTGCTGCAATCATGGCTATTGTTTTAGCTAACGGAGGAGGAAAGCCGCCGGATTGGCAAGATTTTATTGGTATTATGGTGTTGCTTATCATCAACTCCACCATCAGCTTCATCGAGGAGAACAATGCTGGTAATGCCGCCGCTGCTCTCATGGCAAATCTTGCACCCAAGACTAAGGTATACAAATTTAGCTATATAAATTTAGTCATATATTTTCTAAAAAAAGAGATTTATATAATTTATGTGTGAATGTAGGTGTTGAGAGATGGTAAATGGGGTGAGCAAGAGGCTTCAATCTTGGTTCCGGGAGATTTGATAAGCATCAAATTGGGTGACATTGTTCCTGCTGATGCTCGTCTCCTCGAGGGAGATCCTTTAAAAATTGACCAATCTGCTCTTACTGGTGAATCCCTTCCAGTCACCAAACACCCTGGAGATGAAGTATTCTCAGGCTCAACCTGCAAGCAAGGTGAGATTGAGGCTGTTGTGATTGCTACGGGTGTTCACACCTTCTTTGGCAAGGCTGCTCATCTTGTCGACAGTACCAACAATGTTGGCCATTTTCAAAAGGTATTTTAGAAATGAACAAACAACATCTGGATACTTTAAGTCTAGGTCTAAGTTCTCAATTCTCATAGTTGGTTTATTTTTCCAGGTTTTGACATCAATTGGTAACTTCTGTATATGCTCAATTGGATTGGGAATGTTGATTGAAATATTGATTATGTACCCTATCCAACACCGCACATACAGAGACGGTATTGATAATCTATTGGTACTTTTGATTGGAGGAATTCCAATCGCCATGCCAACAGTTTTATCTGTAACAATGGCCATTGGGTCACATAGACTCTCTCAACAAGGTGCCATCACCAAGAGGATGACTGCAATTGAAGAAATGGCTGGAATGGATGTTCTCTGCAGCGATAAGACTGGAACTCTAACCCTTAACAAGCTCTCCGTCGACAAGTCCTTGATTGAAGTGTTTCCAAAGAACATGGATACTGATTCTGTTGTATTGATGGCTGCAAGAGCTTCCAGGATTGAAAATCAAGATGCCATTGATGCTTCCATCGTTGGAATGTTGGGTGATCCAAAAGAGGTACATACTTCATATTGTGAAATTTGGATTCATTTAGTTTACTACTAAAAATATATATATATATATATTTATATTTATATATACATATATGTATATATATATATATATATATATATATATATATATATTCTTATGTTGCAATTGTTTTTGATAAAATAAACAGGCAAGAGCAGGAATCACAGAGGTGCATTTTTTGCCATTTAACCCTGTAGATAAACGTACAGCCATCACATACATCGATGAAAGCGGAGACTGGCATCGGAGCAGCAAAGGAGCTCCTGAGCAGGTAATGAACTAATATCCTTGATTTTATTTTAAAATAACTTACTATCTTTTATCTGATATCACCTTGTTTCTGTAACTTTATTATTACTAGATCATCGAACTCTGCAATCTCCAAGGAGAGACTAAAAGAAAAGCACATGAAGTTATTGATGGTTTTGCTGAACGTGGGCTTCGTTCTCTTGGTGTTGCTCAACAGGTATATCATAGTTAGACTTACCACATAATGACATAAACATATTTAGTTCTATGGTGTTAAAAAAATTCCATTTCGATTCAAATGCAGACTGTGCCTGAGAAAACTAAGGAAAGTGATGGTAGTCCATGGGAGTTCGTTGGTCTGTTGCCACTCTTTGACCCGCCAAGACATGACAGTGCGGAAACTATTAGACGTGCCCTTGAGCTTGGTGTCAATGTTAAGATGATTACAGGTGACCAACTTGCCATTGGTATTGAGACTGGTCGTAGGCTTGGCATGGGGACCAACATGTACCCATCCACTTCACTCCTTGGCAATTCAAAGGATGACTCATTAGTTGGCATCCCTATCGATGAGCTAATTGAGAAAGCTGATGGATTTGCTGGAGTTTTCCCTGGTAATATATTCAAATCGTCAATGTTAAAATATTCTTAGTTACATTAGTCTCACTTGGTATATTCAATTACATTATTTTCATTTGGTTTACATAGAGCACAAGTATGAGATCGTAAAGAAGCTACAAGAGAGGAAGCACATTTGTGGGATGACTGGAGATGGTGTAAACGATGCTCCAGCTTTGAAGAAAGCGGATATTGGAATTGCAGTAGCAGATGCTACTGATGCGGCGAGAAGCGCCTCAGACATTGTTCTAACAGAACCAGGACTAAGCGTGATAGTGAGTGCCGTGTTGACAAGTCGCGCTATCTTCCAGAGGATGAAAAACTACACAATCTACGCTGTTTCCATCACTATCCGTATTGTTTTGGGATTCATGCTTGTTGCTTTGATCTGGAGATTTGATTTTGCACCTTTCATGGTCTTGATTATCGCAATCCTAAATGATGGAACCATCATGACTATCTCTAAGGACAGGGTGAAACCGTCCCCAGTGCCAGATTCTTGGAAGCTCAATGAGATTTTTGCAACTGGCGTTGTTCTCGGAACATACATGGCTCTTACCACTGTGCTCTTTTTCTGGCTAGCTCATGACACAAACTTCTTCAGCGTAAGTAGTATACAATATCACATCAACATTTTTGTTACTATACTTATTTTCAATATTAAATTGCAGAAAACATTTGGGGTGAGGTCCATACAAGGAAATGAAGAAGAGCTTATGGCAGCTTTGTATCTTCAAGTGAGCATCATAAGTCAAGCACTTATCTTTGTAACCAGATCAAGGAGTTGGTCATTCGTTGAGCGACCTGGGTTTTTGCTCCTAATAGCCTTTGTTATAGCACAATTGGTTAGTAGATTCTCTTCTTACTATATTACTATTCATTTAATTTACATTTTATCATTAGCATGTGAGACATATGTCTGTTTTATGCAACAAACAAGGTGGCTACATTGATCGCTGTGTATGCAAATTGGGGATTTGCAAGAATCGTGGGTTGTGGATGGGGATGGGCTGGAGTCATATGGGTATACAGTATCATTACCTACATTCCTCTTGACATCCTTAAGTTCATCATCCGTTACGCTCTCACTGGAAAGGCTTGGGATAACATGATCAACCAGAAAGTGAGCAAATTTCGGAAGAAAAGTTTTACGAAAAATTTACCTTAAATCCATGTTAGTTGTGAGCTTCATAGCTCTTTAATTTTTTGCAGACTGCGTTCACAACAAAGAAAGATTATGGAAAAGGAGAAAGGGAGGCTCAATGGGCACTAGCCCAACGTACACTCCATGGTCTTCCACCTCCGGAAGCAATGTTCCATGACAATAAAAATGAGCTCTCTGAAATAGCAGAGCAGGCCAAAAGGCGCGCCGAAGTTGCTAGGTAAAAAATCTTCTTTGTCAAATTTCTTACAAAATATAATTGGATGAACAAACCAAACTAAACAAGGTATTGTTTTTTTTCGTAGGCTAAGAGAGCTTCACACTCTAAAGGGTCACGTTGAATCTGTAGTGAAGCTCAAGGGACTTGACATTGATACCATTCAACAACACTACACTGTTTAATCATTTCTAGGGTCACTACTATGAATGAGCCCTAATGAGTAACAAAATAAGCTATGTATTCTCCTTATATTGTTTTTAACCTATTTGTAACAAAAAGAGAGCAAAAAACGAGATATACCATATTTTTTCCGTTGGATGAAATATAATAACACCTAGTTACCTAGTTACTTGCAAAAGTTTTCTCCTGCATTACATCTATACTATTAATTGGGAAGCATTTTGTGAACTACAACATTGTGAGGGTAGTTTAAGACTAACTAAATGAATTTTTACATGGGTAATTTAGTAAATAAACAACTACTACAAGTAAATAAATATATTTGATTCGGATCCTTCATTAATTTTTTGCAAAAACAAATAACGAGATTAAATGATCCAATATATTCCCAGATTTGCTTCGTCAATATTTTTGGTATGATTTCTCTACAAAAACAAAAAAGGAAACAACATTAAATCTTAAATAATAGCTGAATATTCAGCATCAATATATTTATTTCGAATATAAATCGAAATACTTTGTATTTTTCAATTTGTTAGAGATAAAACAAAAAAATCTACACATACATTTTTGGAGTACATTTAGCAAATAAATCCTGGAGTTCCACCTTATTTACGGATGAATGCCATTGGCATTAATTATTTATTTTTGAGAAAAATTAATTAAAGATATTACCAACACGAGAATCATAAAATCAGATCTTCCTTAATTTTTTGAGTCATTAATGTGATAATCTTTAGGAAATATTTCTCTGTAAAAAAAAAAACTCCACATTAAGGAAAGCATTAAAATCGACACTAACAATTAAATTATTTAGATATTCAATTATTTTAAGATTCTTATATCTTATTTGATATTCTTTTTTTTTAATATCTCATTCTTTAATTACTGCGTTTAGAATTTATTGGTTGTTACCTATTTTTTGGTGAAATTTTTTGGTTGTTACTTAATAAGTAATTATGGTGCGTTTATTTTAGTTAATATCTAATTTAAAGGATTTGTTTTCTTTATTATTAATAAACGAATAACATGTATAGAAATAAAAGATTTTTCTTGCGACTCCATAATAAAAATATTAAACTCTTATTTTCTACATTTCTTACACATAATATCCTCTTATTCAATAACAAGAAATATATATTGCATATTTTTAAAAATATTTATAATATTTAAATTATATAAAAAGTTTGTAATATTAATATTATTTCAACTCTATACAAATTTAATATATATATATATATATATATATATATATCTTATTGGAACCATTTAAAAGAAAACTTTTAAATTGACTTGAAAACTTTTAAATTGACTTAAATATAATCTATCAAACAAATTATATTTTGATTTTTTAAGAAAATATAGTCCCGCGGTGTACCGCGGGTTAAAATCTAGTTCTGTTTAGATTAGTAGGGTACAAAATATCTTAAAGTACAGGTTGTCGAATATATATTTTTAAATCGCCAACGTTAAATGTATATTAATATGCTAAAATACTTAGTAAGAAAATACTATGGGATATTTTAAAACTATAATAGCAAGGCTAAAATATTTATTAAAAGATGGTTTTCTCTGAAAATTTTTCCAAAAAAACTTATTTGAGACTATTTTTTAGTTTAATATAAATTTTTGACTACTCAAGATTTTTCCTTAAGAGAATATGGATTATATTTTATCCTTAACGATGTAATCTTCTCCTTCACTAATAGCAAATATTAATGCTTTTAGTGTAAGGATTGTCATCAAAAGATTTTTCTATTTAAACATCTTACTTATGTATAGTTTTTTTTAGACGGTTTTTAGAATAAATTAGAATAAAACATACATAGCAAGTGGCGAAACCAGTTGAGGAGAAGAGGGTCAGTTGAACCCCATAACTATTATAACTAGAAATTGACACACGCATTGCGTGAGTTTAATGTTTATACTTTATTGTTCTAATTATTTTATTCTATATCTAAAATTTTAAAATGTGTTATTGTCAGAAATAAGAAATTCATCCACGCGTTGCGTGATTTTATTATTTTATTAGAAAAAGAAATTCATATTGTGAAAATGTTTTCCTTAAAATATAAAAACGAAAATGAATAAGTGGATAATCCAAAAAGTGTTTATTTTTGAATGTTTGTCTACAACAATACTATATGAAAAATATATGAATTCAACATGTGAAAATAAGGTAGTAAATTTGTATTAGTAAGAAACAAAGGAAAAATTACAAGTGATAAGTAGTGGTGGCAATGTTAGCAACGCAAATTTGAAAATAATTACACTATCTTAATATATTTAAATATCAAATAGTAATATTTTATAAATCTATATATAATAGCAATCTAATAAATACCATTTGCACATCTGAACGGTTGCGTCTTTTTATCGCAAATTTTCGTTAATGTTTTTATTAATTAAAATATATATTTTACGGTTTTGTTTTTTTTTTATAAATTGCATTCTGAATGTTTTCTACGGTTGCGTTTTTTATTGTAACTCTTCATAAACAGTTGAAACCGCTTATTCGAATCATTGCAATATTTAGTTTATTTTACGAACAATTGCAACCTTTGGTTTATATATTTATTTTATTTCACGAACAATTGCAATTTTTGGTTTATTTTATAAATAGGTATAATATTTAATTATTTACCGCCGCGTCTCTCGGTATAACTTTTCATAAATTATTATTTTAATTCTTAATTTTTAATTACTAAAATGTATTTAAATGAGATTGTAACTATTTAATTGAACTGTTTTAACATTTGGATTATTTGACGAATTATTGCAACTTTTGGTATTGTGTTACGAACTATTGTTATCTTTAGTATATTTGATGAACTATTGCAACATTTGGTATAATTGACGAACCGTTGCAGTTTTTGGAATATTTGATATCTACGGTTGCGTTTCTCGGATGAGTTCGTCATATTTTTAAAAAATATTTAAATACTAAAATGTATTTAAATGAATTGTTGTTACCGTTTAATTTAACACAATAGCATTTGGTTTATTTGACGTTGAACGTTTTGGCTTATTTATCAAACCATTGTAATATTTGGTTTATTAGTTTATGCTTTTTGCACTTGGGAATAGTTTTTTAGTTACAAATTATTGTTTTTCTAATATTAATATACTTAATAAATGCTTGTGAGGGTTTTCTTTATCATAATTTTTGTAAAATATATATTGATTTGTTATTAAAAAAATTCAAAAGTATTACAATTCATTATGATTTTTTCGTTTGATATTTTTTTAAATGATTTTTGAAATATATTCCCCCGCGACATCGCGGGGGTCCTGAGTCCTAGTAATTAATAATAACCAATATATTATGCGACTATATTTTTTAAAAAATACTAATACTTAATTTAGTAAATTTAATCGAATTGTTAAAGTTATATAGTAAAATCTTTTCCCCGATCCTAGTGGTCTCTAAAGACTAAAGGTGAAGGAATGTCTTATGTTTCTTGGTTAAATCAAAATTTGCTACCCAAATCAAGGTCAAATTAAAAAAGTTTCCAAATCAAGTGTATCTTTTCAGCTAATTCGGTTTACATGGCTTTAATCTTTGTGTTAACAAGGAAAACAGAATTGCAAATGTCTTTCGAGTCGTGTAATATTTTTTTAAAAACTTTTGAACAACATAATTGGGTTCTAAAACAGACCATAAGACGGTGAATAGCGCGTTGGACAGCCCAACTTAAAAGAATCGATTGACTATTATCGAATTTACAAAATAAAAACTAAAAAAAAAATAAAAAATCCCAGACATTAACCTAAAATCGATCACAAAACCTAAGAGCAAAGCAAATCGACGGCGACGGGAAAGTAGAAAAGCTGAAGAATAAGAAGAAGACTCTTGCTTCCCGCAGATCTCTGTCTCCTCTCTCTCTCTCGTAACTGTAGAAAAGCTAAAATCACAAAACCGCAAAGCAAATCGGCGATGGCACCGAAGAAGTGGTGGACAACCGTCAGAACCCACATACTTCCAGTGACAACCCTCCTATTTCCACAGTCTTCTAGTGAAGAAGAGAAATGTGGCTCATCTGGAGAAGTATCTGAGTCTTCCAAGAAGCCTGAATCCGATTCGGAGCCTGCTCAGACGATGGAGCTGACGCCTGTTGTGACCAAACCAATTCCAGACAAGTCTGGATCTGACGCGACTGTACCTGAGAGTTCAACGGCTAAGCGTCCTTTGAAGGAAGCTGCTTCTTCTGAAGCTATTAAGAAGCAGAAGACATCGGAGACTGAGCATGTGAAGAAGCCGACAACAAATGATGAGGTTAAGAAGATTTCTGGAGATGATGGGAAGAAGTTGTTTCAGAGATTGTTCAGCGAGGCTGATGAAATCGCATTGCTTCAAGGTATTATTGATTTCAAAGGAGATCCTTCTGATATTGATGGTTTTTGCATTTACGTTAAGGACTTGATCGATTTCAAGGCTACCAACAACCAAATCGTTACCAAACTTAAGAGGTTGAAGAAGAGGTTTAAAAATACTGTCAGTGACGATGAGATTCAATTTGATAAAGATTTTGAGCAGAAACGCTTTGAATTGTCGAGAAAGATTTGGGGAAACAATGGTGATTTGACTTCTAAATCATCAAAGAAGAAACATGGAGGAACCCCTGCCCCGAAAGAGATGAAGAAACCGGAAAAATCAGAGACGAACACAAGTCTCTCCATTGGTAAAGAGATAGCGTCGTTCTTCAATGCGAGTTCTTGTGGTTTGGATGAATCAACAATAACTGCGGGTTGGGCAAAGGTTGCGGATGGAGCAGAGAAGAGAGAAGTGGAGGAAAAATGGAAGAAGCTCAAGGGTAAGGAGTATGAGCTATGTTTGCAGAGGTCTGAACTCCTGAACAAGCTCAAGGGTAAGGAGTTTGAGCTTTGTTTGCAGAGGTCTGGACTCGTGAACGAAACTGCACAGATGATACTCAAGGCCTTATAATCCTGAGCGTTTGTCTTTTTACTTCCTAGTATACATTTTGAGTCTTTTTTATTGTGCATTTTAGCTTGTGGAACTAATCTTATGTAAGTATTTGTCGTATTTTCTTTATGCCCCTATGTTGGATGCTTGGTTTGGGTATAAGTAAGACCCCTTTGATTATTCTTTAGTTCTCTTTGTTCGGTTTCTGAGAAATGTTCCGGAAAATGGAATGGCCCTTGTAGTTTCTGATACAAAATATCACTTTTTAGGCGAAATCAAAATCCACCATAGCCTTAAAGTTAAGTCTTTTAGGTCCCTTTAAACTCTAAAAACTTTGTGTTAAAACTCTAACCTTTTGCCAAATTGCTGCTTTGCAAAACAAGCAATGCAGAGTCAAACTTATAGCATCCTTTGTAAAAACTGCCTAACTCTTTTGTTAGAGTTGTGAAATAACTTGTCATATTAACTTGTAAACCTATGTGAGTAAGCTATGGGATGCAATCCTACAATGCTCGACTGCAAGTTTCATCATATGCTTCCCTTGTGAAGTGAAGCTGGAGCTTCCTGGGGACTGCACAATTAAGAGGCAAAACTCATCATCACATGGTTTTGCAGTTTGCATATCGGTAAAAGACCAGAAATGATACTTGCGAGCAGATAACGTTCTGCAAAATCATTTCCTAACTTTGACGTCGTTGTGCATCAGTAAGGTCACATAGATTTATCAAATGATACTTACGACGAGATAACGTTCTAAAGAATCATTTCCTAACTTTGACGTAGTTGTGCATCACTAAGATCACATAGATTTATCAAATCCAATTAGTTACGAATGCTCACCTTGTCTTGGACCAAACAGTGCTTTAGATCGTATTAAATGCTTGTGAAAATTTTTATTATCATAATTTTCGTAAAATATTTATTGATTTATTACTAAAAAAATCTAAATTGTTACAATTCATTATGACTTTTCATTTGATATTTTTTAAACGATTTATATTGTAGTTAATAGGATTTGGAAAAAAAAAATTTAAAATTAAAAAAATAAAACAAATTATAACATAATTTATATTAAAAACACATATTAACTTAATCTTAGACTAAAAAAAGTTCCTAATTCTAAGTTAGTAGTCTCATTCCCAACTACACATAATCATCAATAATTAAAATATTACCATTCCAAAAACGTGGTAACATATTGTTAATAATATGAAAAGTTGCTATGAGATTATATGTTAAAAAAAGAGAGAGAGATTATATGTTAATTCCAACTACAATTAAATGTAAAATTGTCCACATATGATAAATCGTTCAAATATTTTTTAAAAGGAAACTTTTCAAATATTCAAAAACCTAAAAACATGTTAATGTTAGTATAAGAATTTTTAAGTTTTAGTTTAAATAGAAAGGGGAAATAATGCTAAAAGATAAACTAAAATACGACTATAACAACAAAATGGAAAAATATTCAAATAACAACACAACGAAAAATAAGTTAATGATGGTCGAAAAAACTTTTAGTTTAAAACAAAAGTTTCTCAATTCAAGAGTAGTGGTTAATTTTATGTAGAAATAGCCATCTAAAATTGATTATGGAACATAGATACTTGAAAGATCAAAACGTATAGTTTTTTAGAGATCAAACAAAGAGCTCACTGAATTACGAGGGCATCTTGCTGTCAGGATCACCCATTTATGGGCAGCACAAAACTTTTGATTTTTGCAACAGCTGACAGAGACGTCTTTTGGGATGTCGTAATTTTACTAAACCCAAAAACTCTTTCAAATTATGACAAAAATTAAATCAGTTCTTGCGATTCAGGGTAAAAAAAGAAAAGGTGTCAACCCAGTTTTTAGCCAAAAATATATGGGTACTCTACAATTACTTGATTAATGGAAAAACTTATTAATAGATAAGAGAAATATAGGTACGCCCAAACGTGTACATATTTATTAGATTAATTTCTAATGTTTTGTGAAAATATTTTTATAATTGCTTTACTAATAGCAAAATCTTTAATAATGTAAAACAAGTAAGAGAAAATGACACATCATATTTATAATTTGTTTCATACCAAATTTTACCCTATAAACATTTTTTCCTTATTAAAACAAAATTTGAAATAACGTAAATGATGCTAAAAATAGAAATAAAAAATAATTCTGTTAAAAATAAATAAAAGAACATTTCCGTAAAAAAAATATTTTAAAAATTATAGTACTTTTGTATTACTAAATATGTACCTATTTAAATGATAATAAAGCCCAAAAATATATTAAAACAATCGATAACAATAAACCCCCGCGTAGCGGGGGTTAATAACCTAGTCTATACTATATAAAAGTCGAGGCTATAAGCTTCTTAAGCCGTCCACGTGGGATTTTAAACGACCAATCGCGGTTGGACATGTCATTAATTAACATATTTTGATTCCGATAATTTTCTATATTAAAGTTTTAGTAAAAAGGAAAAGAAAAAAAGTAAGAGAAATATTTCAAAATATGGAAATCTTTCTAATTATAATCTTGTGTTATTTAAAAAATAATATAAAGAATAAAAAATAGTGTTTTAATTTTCAAAGATTATTAAATTTATAACCGGAATATCTAAAAATATGGAACAATTCTGAAAATAAATTTTGTTACCAAATACATAAAATGAAAATAATAAAACATGTAAATATTTTTGACATTAGTTAACATTTTTTGACATCATGTTAATTAATATTTTAAATTTTTAATATGTTATATATTAATATATTTATGAGAAAAGAAAAAAATTATATATGTAAAGAATAGAAATGTAAACTTTTGAAAAACAACATATGAAAATAAGAAAAACAATATATAGAAGAAAAAAAATGTTAGTTTTTGAAAAACAATATATGGAATACGCTAAACTTCTATTCTTATTTTGTTAATCTTCTAATTTTCCAACAAAAAAGATATTAACAAAAAAACATATTCTATTAACTCACATCTTTTCAATATAAATAATAACCGGAGGCATCTGATTTGATCGCAATTTTTAAACTATAAATTTCAAGCCGTCACTAACAATTAGGGTTGGTTACTTCTTTTAATGGCGCCTCTTTTTATATTGTTCATCGCTTTTGCCACTATAGACACTTCTCTATTTCTGTTGGGCTGTTTTTGTTTTAGATTTCCGATGAGCCGTAAAACATGTGTTTGTGTATGATGTTATATATGTTTAGATATTCTCTTTCATATCGGTTATGAATCATAAGACCTTGATTTGATTGTTTGAGTTAAATTTTTTGTTTAAAAGAAGAAAGATCAACGACAAGCACACATGTTTTATTAGTTATATATAGTATAGATATGTGACAATGTTCATGTTGCTTCCTCTGTAAGTAATTTGCAATTTTGTAGTATTAAGGATTTTGGTTTTAAAAGTTGCAATACGTGTGGATCTTAAATCGAGTATATATATATGTAAGAGTATCAATAATTGAGTACAGGTGGTGGCTATGCTGGTCTTGAATAGCACAAAACTTATGAGAAAATAGGCAATGATTCTGGTCTTGGAGGTTGTAAGAGGTTCACTGGGAAACAAGTTGTGTTACTCTAAGACAAATTGTTTTAGATGGTTATTTAGTGGTTCTAACGAATTCAGCATCAATTGCTTGTGCCCAAGAAGTACCACGGGCTAATAAATCTAAGGAAGTGGTGGTGGTGGTGGAAGTTGAGGAACATACATGTAAGACCATGCAAGGAAGCTCTCTTGGAATAGATGTCCATGCCAGTAAAGTGAAAATTGTTTACGTTAAAGTGCAAGTGGATACAACTATGGCTAATGAGGAACATCTTGCGTGATTCTGTTTTTTTATAACTTAGGTTGTATATACTTCAGTTGGATGATATCTAACCAGACAAAAAAGTATAAAGACTTGTGTTGAATTTGTAGAAAAAGTTGTTATTCTTGGAGTACCAATTTCAATCAAAAAAGAGAATTGACGTGACGTAAGAAAGGTATTGATGAGAGTTTCCTTGCGTTATATACAATTGACGTCACAATCTAGGTAGCAAAGAAGATTGTTTTCCATGTAAAAAATAAAGGAGAAGAGAGAAACGCTGATAGATTGGCGACAAGCGAGAGAGAGATAGATAGATAGAGAGAAAGCCATTGTCATGAGAAGAGGTCTGATTGTGATACCATAAGACAAACTTGGATTATTATTTATGGAAAAGAAAAGTGAGAAAACAGTTATAACATGACCTCTTTATGGTAACAATTGGTTCATATGTAGCTGAAACTTGATGGCGAGGTTTCTGCTATGATGGTCTTGAGGTTTAATGGTGGGATATAGATTTAAACAGATTTTTAGAAGAAAGCTTCTTCAACATGTTTGAGAAGATTTCTTCTAAAGTTTCAGATCTGACCATCAACGTGGAGACATGAACATCCAAACGTACTCGGAATAATCTTAAATTTGATAAGAGTATTCTGGAGACGTGGAACGAAGTTTTGGTAGAAAGGCGTCAAATTTCGAGTTCCGAAGGTCAAATGACCGACATTGTTTCAAGTAGTTAATTCAGAGGCTTATGATGCTATGTTTGGTTAATGTTAGTAAGTCTAAATTGTTTGCTCTATTTTTAACCACATAATAACGAATGTTTTACATAGAAGAAGATGGAGAGGACGAGGAAGAAAGTGAGGAAGAGGAAGAAGAGGAAGAGGAAGAGTATAACCAAGAAGCGGAAAGTAATAGTGACAACGGCCATGAAAAATTGACAATGTAGATGACGACAAGTAATATGAAGAGTAAAAAATGATGAATGTGAAGAGAAATACGAAGACATAGGTGTTGGCGGCCAATTGAATTTGAGAAAACAAGATTGATTCATGATTTTTTAGATAAGATTTTATTCTTAAACACTATTGATTTTTATAATTATGCATTTGAACTGGAAATTTTGCTTTAATAGTAATTTATAAACTATCATCAATCTTATATAATTTTTACCAAAATATATTAAATAAACCCACGCGTAGCGTGGGTTCAAAACCTAGTCTATACTATATAAAAGTCGAGGCTATAAGCTTCTTAGGCTGTCCACATAAGCTTTTAAATGACCAATCGCGAATAGCCATTTCGTCAGTTAACATTTTTAAATTTTACAAAGTCTCTATATTAAAATACATACACATGGAAACAAGGTAAATGTAAATTTTTGTTATCAACATACATAAAAATAATTGATCATTATTAATATTAACATAAAATGAAATGTTCTTTAAACTTAACATAAATAATAAAGAATAATGCCA